GCTGCCCCAGCGCCAATTAAGTGGCAAATGAAAGCAGCAGAAACTTCAGAAAGAGATGCTTCCAAGTGGGGGGCCCGCAAGTCTTCTTTAAATGGCAAATTAATTAAATGAAATCCAGAAATGCTCACGGGGGCCCCCCTGTTGTCGACTTCGTAGAGCTGTACGTACACCCCAAGCCCAGTACACTTCGCCGAGGTGTACGTACACCCCAACCCCGCGCTTCGTTTTTTTCGGACTTTTTTTCGTTCTTTCGCGTTTTTTCCCCTTTATTGTTTTTATTTATATATTTATTTATTTATTTATTTATTTATTTTCGTTATTTAATCTCCATTTCGAGCTTATTTGCCCTTTATTTCATTCTTTTTCGCGGACTTCACCTGCGGCAACAGCGCCCCCAGCATCACGGGGGCCCCCCGGCGAGGAACGAAAGACACAACTGCAGCCTGAAGAAATAAAAATAAATAAATAAATAAATAAATAAATAGTTAATTAATTATTAATTGATTGATTGATAATACGTAAATAAATAATAAATTAAATGATAATAATAAATCAAGTTGAAGACGAGAAAACAAACGGAATAAACGGAAATGCAAAAGGGCTTCAAAAATAGAAAAAAGAAAATTAAAAAAAATTAAAAAAAGAGATAAAAGGAGACACAACAAAGAGACACAACATCGAAAGAAAAAGAATAAAAAAGAGTAAAACAAGGAGAAAAGAAGGAGAGAAAAAGGATTAGAAAGGAAATTAAAAAAAGAAAAAGAAATGAATACAAGAAGTAGGAAAAAAAGAAAAAAAGAAAAAAGAAAAAGTAACTCACAACTTGCTTTTTATCCATGGCAAGGATAAGGGCGGAAAGAAGTCTTTTGCTCTCTTCGAAATAAGAAAGTGCATTTCTAGTTTCGACATTTGTTTGCTGCTGCTGCTGCTTTTGCTCCTGCTGCTGCTGCTGGCGCTGCTGCTGCAGCTGCTGCTGCAGCTGCTGCTTCAGCTGCTGCTGCCGCGCAGCAGCAGCAGCAGCAGCACTTCCGAAAGAAACAAATAAACTGTTTCCCACATTTGCTTCCGGACCCAAAAGAGAAAGAGGAATAAACCCTAGCAGCCGCATGCAGGGGCTTCCGTAGCTCTGCAACACCCAAAACCCTAAACCCTAAACCCTAAACCCTAGGCGGGCCCGCCGCAACTG